AGTTTACATTCTAGTGTGGAAAATCATGGAGAAAATCAGCAACCATTTCAGTGACCAGCACTGCCAAAACCTACTAACACAAGATAATGAGCTAGCAAGGATAAGGAAAGATGGGTTACAAGGAAGGCTTTCTTGAGAGGGAGTCTCTAAGAGCCAAATGACAGGAAACATGACTACAGGGGCAGTCAGGGACAGGAACATAGACACAAAGAGCTGAGCCTACTGGAAAGAGAGAGAAGTGGCCACTGGTCCTACCGCACAGCCCGAAAGGGAATGAGCAGCAAGTCTGGAAGGGATCACTCAAATCCCAGAGGCCAGATCTCAAAGACAGGGTCTTATGGATATTATAAATACAACTGGAAGTCCTGGGACCCTTTAACAACGGAGGGGTTATCCCAATAGTAGTTACCTGAACAGAGCACTGTCTGCGTGCCAGACATGGTTCAAATCTCATTTCATCTTTCCAGCAACCCCATGTGGTAGGAACAAATATGAACCCCATTCCACAAGTGAGATCTGAGTCAAAAAGGCAGTAAGTGATGAAGCCAGAATCAAAGCCAGGTGGTCTGGCTACCGGTGGTGGTTGTGGACGTGAACAAGGGCCAGATGGTAGGGCCGTGAAGGCCTAGGTAAGGAATCTGTTATTCCAAGTGTAATAGAAAGCCATTAGAGGGGGGCTGAGACTTCCTAACTCATTCCCTTTGATCTGAGCTAAGAGAGGGCACAGCTTCTGGGAAAAGCCCACCACACCCTGGCTGAGTTGGCTGCTAAACCAAACTACTGCCAACTCAGCCATATACAGATGCCTAGAGCTGCCCTACCTACGTCAGGCAGAACTCTCTAGCGTCTACAGAACTGGATGCCTTCTCTCTAGGTCAGCGTCCTTAAAGTGGGGCCCTGGACCAGCAGCCGTCAGATCACCAGGCATCTTGTTAGAAATGCAAATTATGGGGCCCTGGCTCCTAACTACTGAATCTGAAAAACCATTTGTTTTTAACAAGCTCTACAGGTGATATAGGTCAAGTTTGAGAACACCTGTCTGGGTTATCCACATGCAGACACCACCACCACTACCCCACCCACCTTCTCCAACCCCCACCCCCACTCCTTCCACTACCCTCCCAAGGTTTACTGGACTTGTCCTTGGGCAGCCTCTGCGCTGCACACCCAGCCATCCATCCCCTCTACTGATGGGACTCTCGGCTGGAAATCTCATTATTGGCCCAAACTATTTTTCTAACTAATCTGACTTCCTGAAAATATTTATTATTCACCTGTTTAAGCCTCTTCTACCCTAGGGTAAACTCCTCTTCCTTCCTACTTCTAGGGTTTAACTTCCAGCCTTGTCACCTCCAAGGCTGGATGTCAAGGATAATTTCTGCCTTAACCTAGACTTTCCCTAACACCCTTCAATCACCAGATTTCCTTTTTATTCATTCATTCCCACTTTCATTCATACATTCCAACAAGTATTCATGCCCTCAGCATCCCAGGAACTAACTACACTAGGTGGCAGGTACTTTAGTGATGCCTAAAAACAGCGCTCATCCCTGCTCTCACAAAACTGACCCTTCAGTGGGGGATGGCAGCATGCAAATAAATACAAAATTACAAATTAAATGGTTATACTAGAAAGACCTCTGAGAAGGTCGCTGGGCTGAGACCTGAAGGATGAAGAGACAGGCCCTGACAGTATTTGGGTGTTGAATCCATGCCAGACTCTAGTCAGTCTAAATGCTTTATATGCATTACTCATGTACTGTTCCAATAGCCTGATGGAACTATAAGAGCGGATACTGAGGGATGGGGAGAATAAGGATATATAAACAGGAGAGCCAAGTTTCAAACCCAGGCAGACTGGCTCCGGAGCTACCCTCCTCACCACAGACTAAGGTGAGAAAAGTGGGGTGAAATGGATAGGCAGACAAGTGTCCAGGCAGACAGATCAGCATGTATAGAAGCCCAGGGGCAGAGAAAAGTCAACCTGAAGCAGAAAGGAAGTCGAGCATATTAGTGAAACTGGGGAGCAGTGGACGGATTGGAAATATATGTGGGAACTGGACCAGACAAGATATCCTGAAACATGTATTATGGAGTACAAGGAATAAGGGGAAATCAAGGGTGACTCTCAGTTTTCTGATTCTGTTTTCAAGGCTTGAGGACAGTCAGAAGACAAAGTATTATAACACAATATATTTAAAAAAAAAAAAGTCCCGTTGAGTGCTAATGCACGGGCAAGCTCTCAAAAAGAATACAGTCAATTGATCAAGCAGGTTAAAGTTTCCAGCTCTCCCCACCCTCCCCTCCTTCTCCATAGGGGATCTTCATTCAAGGGTTCCAGCCTAACTCCCAGGAGCGGTTTTCCAGGACACTACTAACGCTGGCTAACAATAAGAAGAATCACAGCTATAGTAATAAGAATAGCTTGCACCAGGAGGAGGGTTTTTCTCACACAAATGTAATGCTTTCAAACCAGGGTTCTCAAAATTTTCTGAATAGAACAATTATACTAATTTACAAATGAGAAGTTGTGCAACTTGCCCAAGGCCACACCACTGCGAAGAGGCTGAACCAGAATCCAAATCCAGGTCTGCCCAATTTCAAAGCCCATACTTCCTCCATTAAATCAGCATTTCCCATAATGTGGGACAAAGATCTGTGATGGAACACAACAATGGTTTTAAATGCACAGATAAACTTTTTAAAGTTTTAATACTTATAGTCTGGTTTTATTATGTATAGCCCTATGTGCGTGTAATTATCAGCTAGATAAAAATTTTATACATACACACAATCGGATTCTAACTTTTGCATTACATGTGTATATGTGAATCCATGACTTCATGTGTATTGCTGCCTAGGAAACAAAGTTTCTTAAAAGTTAAAGAAAACATTAGAATAAAAGTACAGCTGATACAGGGAGAGGGGAGAACTCAAGGCAGAACATAAATAACTGAAGCTTGTGAAACACTGCTCACCACACCACCACCCAAGAACAGCCAAGCACCTGGTTCCATATTGTACTCAAATTTGGCTACAGTCACACATAACTTTGACTGTGCTCCAGAGGGATGAAATATTGGCTGCCTTGGGGGATAGGGAATAGCAGAACAACACAATTTAGCATAAATCCTTCTTAACACAGTATTGGTCTTGACATAAATACTGGTTTCGTGGTCCAAATCCTCTGCTTCTTTATCACACACTTTGATTAAGTCAGGTAAAGCTTTCTTGGGCCTCAGTTTCCCTTTGTCAAAAGGAAGTTATATAAAATAGGCTCTAAGGTCACTTCCAGTTTTAGAATTCTGTAAACTGTTGCAAAATCCTAAAATCCAAAATTATTTTTTCCAATCGGAGAGGCCCCAATCCTGAATGAGTGTTGACCTGAGGAATAAACACTAAATAAGCCCACATGGCAACCCGGACGACCATCCCGTAACTAGGGAGATGCTATTAATTACACTTCCCTCTGGAAAATGTGGCAAGACATTAAAAGATGAGAAAGATGAGCCAATCAGTATCCTTGTCCCCACCAAAACTTTTAAAAATTTCCTGACACTAATTTTTAAGTTACTAACTTTGTTACAGTGGGTCGTTAGTGTCTGTTATTTCTAGTCCTTAACAATTCACTTTAATCTGGGTGGAAATAGCCCAGAGAGCAATAGGTGGGGAAGAAATCTGCAAGATCTCATCAATCCATCCTCATGTTAAGCCTCAACTGAGAACCACCTGTAAAACCTTCCCCGCTTCAATCTGAATTACTCCACGGATGCTCAAACATGTTTATGTGCTTAAGCCTCTAAAAGGAATGAATTGCCACTCCTTAATTTTTAAAAACATTAACAGAAGTTTAACCAAAACAAGCATTCTTCCTCTATTACTGAAATAGATAGCTCTATCAAAAGGGAAGTCTTAAGGACCCCTCCTGCCTTCTTTACAAAGTCCTTTCTGTGATGTCAGTGGGCCTCCAAACTTTTAATAGAGTTTTTAAATTCCCAGCAAGAAGTTGTGCAATGTGCTCACTTCGTTTTTTTGCTGAAGAAAACAAGAGGATGGGTGGACTGCAGCTGGCAAACTCAGAAAGCACAGCTGGGTAGCAGGTGATCTAAAAAAAAAAAAAAAAAAAAAGAGGCAAATCCCTGGGCAAATTGTGTAGCCAAGGGTGATCATTATAACTGGAGAGTTGTTACATAATTACTTCTTAACTACTGACAAACACATAAATCGCTATAAAATGCCATGGTTCCTCTAGACATTGAAGCTAGTGTACCTAAGGCAAGAGTCAAGCTTTCTCCAATTTCATTCAAAGAAATAAGCAATCTCGGGACTTATTTCCCTTCCAAGGTAACCCATCTGCTTTTACATATACAAAACAGCCTCCAGCAATTAAACCAATCGCCTCTAGGGACGAAAATCAGGCTCCCCTTAATATTGATTTTTTTCAAAGGGAAAAGGGGATACAGAAATAAGTACGTTCAAAGAGCTAAATATTTATCACCTCGATAAAAACGACTTCCACTCCAAACTGGAAAATTTTAACAGAAAAGGTCTCCCCCTCACCCCACCCCCCGTCCCTGCTCAGCTGGCGCAAAACGTAAGACCTGTGTCGGATGCACTGCATTCCAACATTTTTCAAAAAGTTTACGAGGATTTACCGAAGCAGCGGGGAGAAAAATAAAGCAGGCAGAAGCGGGGGAGAGCAAGCAAGAGGGTTTCGGCAAAGAGGCACCCGGTGAAGCAGTCGGCAGCGCCGTGCAAGGCCCGGTAACGGGGAAGCGACCCGGCACCCGGAGAGCGAGCACCCCAGTGGAGCGCAGAGACTGACAGCCGCTGGGTCTCCGCCGCCGGGGGTCCCCTAACCCCCAGCCCGGTCACCGCCGCCTGGCCCCCTCCCGAGCCCTCTCCCCGCAGCGCCGGCGATGCCCGCTGGGCCAACTTGGCCCCGGGTCCGCGCTGCGGAGCGCGGCCCCAGCTGCGGGGGAGGCCGCCGGCGCCCTTACCTCCTTCTGCTTGGGGTCCTGCGGGTAGACGTCGGGCGGCCCGAGCCGGGGGCGTTTCAGCGGTCTCTGCTCATAGCTGAGAAGCCCGAAGGCGGCCATGATCTCTCATGTTAACCGGCGAAATGAATGAGAGTTGGAGCTGGAGCAGCCGCCTCTGAGCACCAGGGAGCAGCACTTTGCAGACAGACTCCCTCTCTCCCCCTCCTCGCTCGCTCACTGTGGCGCTGCAGGCAGGAATAAAGCAGGTTGGATGCAGCCGCTGCCCGGCACGCAGACACGCACTGATGGGGGCAGTCTTCGCCGGGCACCCGGCTGCGCTTCAGCCCCGGGACGCACCGCTCCGGTGGCGGCGGCGGAGGAGCTGGAGGTCCGCCTGGGTCTCCCGCGGCGCCAGCCTCCCGTCCCCCCAACCCTGTCCCCAGGGGGAGGAGCAGCTGATGGGAACGTGTGACTTTTTTCACCAATGGACCCAAATCCACCCCAGCCGGACAGGGGGTGGGGGAGGGGCACGGGGGGGGAAAAAAACTTTTCTTGGCGCCTAGGCGGGTGGCTCAAGTGCTCACCCAAGGGGAGGGTGGCCCCCCAGCCCGGGGAAGAGACTGCGGAGAAGCCCGCCCCCGCCCCTCTTCCACGGCAGGGATCCTTCCCGCGCCGCCACGCGCCCCGCAGACCCCGCCACCTGGGCGCGGACCCGGCCGGGGCGGAGGGAGAGAGGCCTGGGGGGGGGGGAGGGGGCAGGGATGCGGACGGGGAGAAGCGGCCGGTGCCTCCTAGACGCCTGCCGGGCTCCGGTGGCGCATCCGAGGCTCCGGTCCCCTCGGCGGCTCCGGGCAGGCGCCGAGGCGCGCTGCTGGCGGTCGCGGCGGCTGGAGGGGGCCGTGCTCACGGTGGCGCGGGGCCGATTTAACCCTTTGCTGCCCCTCCAGAGGCTGGGGGAAAAGGGGGAGGAGGGCTGGCTGTGAGCGCCGACGGGGGCAGCCAGCCCGCGGACGTCTCGGACTCCTCCAGCCCACCGCCTCCCCCCGGCCGCAGCTCCTCCTCCCACCCCCACCCCCCTAACAGTTTACCTGTTGGTCCCCGGCTAGTGGGCAGGGGCCGGCGGCGGCGGCGGCACTCGGGCGGCCACAGCCTCCATGATTCGGGCTGGGATGGGGGGGGATTGGATTGGATTTTATTTGTGAGGTATCAGTCTCGTCCAGGCGAGCTCCGGGGACACCGCGAAGTTTGCCACTGTCTGGGGGCGGCGGGCGACGCCGGCTCGCCGCCGCCGGCGTTCTCGCCCCCACGGCCCGGGAGCGCGAGCTTCCGAGTTGGCGGACGGCGGCGCGGCGGCCGCACTGAGCATGCCCAGCTCGGCGGCCGGACCGCGGAGGAGTTGGCTGCGAGCGCGCTCCGATCCGCCTCTCCGGGTTTTCGCAGCCGCAGAGCGCGCAGCCCGCGGGCCCCGGCGCCGGGGTTGGTCCTGGGGTGAAACTGGGCTAGGGAGGGGGCGCCCGCAGGACCCCTCTCCCGGCCGCGGGCCGCGCTGTCCGCCTCGATCTCTCCTCGGGGTCGCGGTCCCGGTGGCCTGGGCCGGAAACCTCACCTGTGCCGGGCGTGTGGAGGGAGGGAGGCGATCCTCCAGGGGAGACCTTGGTCATCCAACCCACCCGTGCTCCTCGCTCGCTTCGGGGCGTGGGCACCTAGATGCTGGGCCACCTGCCGCGAGCACTGCGAGACCGGAGCCGCGGGGGGCGGGCCTGGCCTGTCCCGAGGGACCCGGCGGGAGGCGCGCCCGGGAGGATGTGCCGGCACTTGTCCAAGAATGATGGCTGCCATTTATGGAGCCCTCCCTTCGTGCCAGGATCTTGACAGTTTAAAGGTCTCCGATCCTTAAAAAATAAATAAATAAACCTTACACGGTTTTACCGTACCCTTTTTATAGATGGAGAAATTGAGTCAGCTCAGTGAGGCCCGGTGACTGTTTAAAGCCACGAAGCTACCTCTGCCTGATCCCAACTTTCGGACCTATTTTCCACGATTTGGGGTTGGAAGGACCGGGTTCCCCAACTGCCCTTACCTGCTTGTGTCATGTTCCCCACACCTTGAGGAATTTCCAGACTCCCGGTTCCATCTTCTATAAAATGGTATAATCAGAATCTAACCCAAAAGCCTATGTACAGCACCCGACATATAGTAGGTGCTCAGATGTGGCCCAAAATATCTACTTACCTCAGCTGACCTGAAGCAAAAGGGAAGGAAGAAAAGGTAGATAAGGGGATGGAATGTGGTAGAAGCCAGTTTCTCACTCTTGACCCTGATCTGTTAGCCCTTCTCAAAATAACCTAAGGCCAAGTGAGACCTGTAGTTTTTGGTTTCTTTACTCAATGTAAGCACCTACTTTTAGAGAACAGTTACCCTCCACCAGGAGGCATTTCCTGACCACTTTCTGCACCCTGCCCCAAGGGTTTTTCTTCCTAATACCCTGGGTCTAACTTGAATGCTGAACTTGCCCTTGTGATAAAGGCATCTGTCAAATCTAACTTTCTCTCTTGAGTAAAAGGACAGTTATCTAACTTTATTAGGAAAATTATCAATGATACAAAAAGCAGGAGAAATGGTATAATGAACTTCCAAGTGTTCATCTCCCAGCTGTGGCGATTATCAAAGTTTTGCCATTCTTTCATCTTCCCCAGCCCAACACATTGACATGTACTAGAGAGGACACTGTTATTCATTGTTGCAACTTAGGCACACAGCCTGCAACACTACAGGGTGGGCACTCAATGGTTGGGTGAGTAGGTATGTGGGTCCACAGATCACTGGGTGTACTTTGGGGATACCTTGCACTGACAGTCGAGTCTGATAGGAGATGTAACCTCAATTCCTCCTTAGGAGTACCTAGGCAAGAGTCTCTAACTGGCCTCCACAGAGGAAAAAGTTTTGAAGCACTCAAAATTGTATACCATAAAGATTTTATTTGAAAATCAAAATGTATTAGTACTGTGTCCCTAGTGTTTAGGAAAAAGAGCCCCTGGTCTCCCTTCCTAACTCCCTTGTCTTGAGACAGTCTGGCATGGATTCTTTGGCCCTCTCAACATGGGAGGGAAAAAAGTTTTTATGCACTGAGACACTAACTCAAAAATCATTCTTTCACTACATGGACTTCCCATGGGCATTTGGCTCCATCATCTTGGCACCTGTGTTCTTCATGGTCCAGCCCCATCTACCAATCTAGCTTTTTCCTCCTTAATCCATCATCCCAGTTAGCTCTCAATCCTATTTCCAAACATGGAATTCCCAGGCCCTTAATTTTCCAATAGCCACCTGGGGACAGTCCTTAGAGTCCAGACTCGTGTACGAAGCTCACCCCAAACTCTTGGGGCACAAGATAATCCTTCAGTTCTTTTACTGCACTTAATTCTCATTTTCTTAACAGCTCATCATTTGTTGCCATGCATTGAGATATGTCACACAATAGTCTTGTTCTCCCATACCGACCGTATCCTCTTGCTCTCCTTCTATTCGAGTTAGTCTTTAAGCTGACTAAGGCCAGTTAACATTGAAGCCACCATGATCTACACTGTGCTTGAATTTCCCATCTCGGTGCTGGTTAATTCAACAGATAGGCACAAATTCTTGTTGAATAATGTGAGTCTCATTTGCTACTGTTCCTATAAGGGGCATCTTAACTGTACCTGGCTAAGGACCCCCGGGGCCTGGGAACAGTTTGCACAGAACCAGAGTTACTCAGAAAACCAGATGCTCCCCAGACAGGTCCCAGCCTAGACCTCAGCCTAGCCAGAAGTGAGTTCTGGCACCTGAGGAAGGTTAGGAGACCTGGTGAAGGAAAAGGATTGAAATGTGGCCAGAGAAGGAGTAATTACAAACCATTTTAAGCATATAGGACTTTATCCTCTAAGTATAAAGCTCAACCTCTAGGGCTGCTTTTGTGGGTTGACAAGTGTTTAAAAGCTGACCCTTTTTCCTATGTCACATCCAAGGACTCCTCAAAGATCCCTCAGCTTCAGGAATCTCCTTACCTGCTAATGTTCCCTCTGCAAGCCCCAGTTTTCAGAATTCTGCAAAGAGTTCCTCAGAGCTGGGACTGCTTTTGTAGTCCTAAGCAAAGTCCCTTTAAGACGGCTCATGGCTGGCTTTCCTTCTCTACATTTGGTCTGCAAGAAATACACAGATGTCTTTGCCTGCACATATTCTAGTGCAGGCATTTTCTCACCAGCTTTCTCTCCTTGCCCACCATGGACACATTCTGCAAGCCACACAGTTCTTCACCTTGAATGTTCTCCCGTCTGGGTCACAGACCAGTTCCTCAAGTTCATGCAAACTGCAGTGGACAAATGTCAAGTGCCGAGGCCAGTAGTCCCTCCAAAGCTCTTTTCACAAGGTTTGAGGTGAGGAATAAAATTTATCTGGCAATAGGCAGAGACACAATCCTCTTTTAGAGCAAGTTTCCAAAGAACGAGAGTGGAAAATGGCTAGGAGCAGACGTAGGCTGTTGACCCACCAGAAGCCATGGTCCTATTATCCCTGTTTTACAGATTAGCAGGTGAGGCCCCAGAGGTGAAGTAACTGGCATAAGGCCATTGAGTTAGCAAGTGGCAATGCCAGGATCAAACCTAGATCCCTCTGACTCTCCAACCTACGCTCATTATTGTCAGTGTGCTCCACATATTAATTATCATTTACATAACACTTAGAAAAGTGAGCCTCAGAAGACAGGTCTGGGATAAGAGAAGCAAAACTCCTGACAGCTCACTCTGGTGTAGAGCATGCTTCCACCCAAGTGGAAAGAAACAATTCTCAGTATAGTGCCTGTAGGTGAAGTAATTAAAGTTGCTGGGTTTCCCCGTGGGGCTGATGCTTGTCCAGGTGTATATATTACTGTGTTTTGTTAACAGATTGTCTACAGGCAGTCTTGCTTACTTTCGGTTTTTCTTATATCCCCATTACATTTAAATGCATTTGTGGTGTGTCTACTTCTGACTCAAAAAAGAAAAATGTCCCCTTCTCTTAGCCTCTTAAAGAAAAGGAAAAATGAGAATGACTTGAGAAGGTGGGTCAGCATAGAGAAGAGAGAAATGGAGGATTCATTTTGGGACATTCCAACCAAATGGGATTTTTAATATAGTCTTTAGGCCACCTGTAGAGATGTAGAGAATACAGACATTAAGACTCCCTAAAGCAGCACTGACAACAGAATTATATTGCCAGTCAAATATGTACTTTTACATTTTTTAGTAGTCACATTAAAAAAGTAAAAAACAGATGAAGGTAATTTTAATAATACATTTGTTTTAACCCAATGTAGCCAAAATATTGTCATTTCCACATGTGATCATTTTTTAATGTGTTAATGAGACATTTTGCATTCTTCATGATAAGTCTTAGAAATCTTGTGTGCATTTTACACTTAAGGCACATCTCATTTCATTTATTTATTTTTAGTAATCTCTACACCCAATGTGGGGCTCAAACTCACAAGCCTGAGATCAAGAGTTGCATACTCCGACTGAGCCAGCCAGGCGCCTCAAGAACATCTCATTTCAGACCAGCCCAGTTCACGTGTTCGATAGTCACACGTTGCTAGTGACTACTATATTGGTCAGCCCTGCTCTAAAGGGACATTTCAGTACTAGTGAACCTATAACATATACGATCTCTATAAGATCAGTGAGGAGGCAGGTGAGTTTCCAAATTAGAAGACCAAAAAGTAGTAAAAGACATAAAACAGGAGGAAGGTGAAGAAGAAAGAAAGTAAAGACAACGTGGGAAAACAATGGATACCCCAAAAGCACTTAGTTGCTAGAGAAACGGAAGCGTCAGGAGGGGCAAGGACATAGAAAAAAGAAGTCTGGGGACAGAAAAATCAAAGGATGAGATAAGACAGTTTTGAATTTCAAAGCTGAGCCCGTGGCTTCATTCACCCACAAATTGTTGCCGCTGATTTACAAAAAGAAGGCCTACTGGTTGATTTCTGGAGTGGGGGCAGTGACACACACACTTAGGTCACTGATGATCAGGGTCACATACTCAGGTTTTCAGCACCAGAATCATATTATCTTATTTTGTTAACTTACTCAGAGCTGTTTAAAGCTCCACAAGACTTCGATAAATACTGAACAAATTCAAGAAAGAGTTCAGTAGAAAAGCAGAATGCTAATTTATTGATACACAGGAATAGGCCTTTCCGTAACTAACATAGGTATATTCTCTTATTCAGATCATCCCTTTGCTAGGAGGTTTTTGTTTGGTTTTGTTTTGTTTTGTTAGTAATCTCACACCCTAAGGGGAGCTCGAACCCACAACCCTGAGATTAAAAGTCACATGCTCCACCAACTGAGTCAGCCAGTCCCTTGTTAGCTTTGAAGTTTGTTGTAAAACTGAAATAGTAAGTAGAAGTTTATCTGGTGAGCATAAAATTAAAGCAAAGAATTGGATAATCTCCAAGGATTGTTTACTCAGACCGACCCATAGTGGAAGTCACCTTCTTTGTGACAGAAGTAGGACTAAAGCCACACCTCGGCCTATTGGTCCCTTTGGTGGCTATATAGACAAGTTGTTACTGTCCAATACATTTACTATGTATTATACCAGAGGTTCCTGGTAGTCCACAAATGTGTCTTTTAGGTTTCTTTGTTTTGTTTTGGGCTTACACAGTCACTTCTGGACTCTAGAAAATCTGGCCACACTGGGTCCACATTCTCCAATG